GGTTCTAACATCAGGGGGAGCGGACACATAAAAAAAGGCGCCACCTGACATATCAAATTACTAATTACATACTTTTAAATTCGTTATACATATTTATTTGTACTTAAACAAAAGACATCTCTACGACACAGGTTGGCAGTCTAACATTTTTGAAACACTGAGTATTGAAAGTTAGGGTTTTTAACCAATTTAAGCTGTGTCACCCCCCCCCCCCAACCCAACAAAAAACAAACCTCTTCCTGCTTTCCTATCACCAGCTCTGTTACTACAGGAATGAAATCTAGACATCCCGTAAAATAGCTAGTTCCACATTGTTCTTCAAACCTCAGATCAGTGAAATGCAGCTTTGCATTTGAGATACTATATGACTGTAGTACATTTTGCACTGCCTGCATCTCCACTGACATCAGGAGAGGAGAAGAGGACAAGACTGTCCCTAGCATATATGATTTTTTAAAAAAAGGCGAGACACACCCACCCACTATCAATGCAACAAGAAGGGAGAACAGTAGCTGGGGCCAAGAGAAGATGCAATGAAACCCTCCTGTACCCACAACTGATATTCACCAGCCACTTTGCTCCAGTCCATAGCACAAAGCACCATAAATCGAGTAGAATCTGGCCAAGAGACTATTCACCTCAAATTGGCATCTGCTACACTCCCCCCTCCCCCGCCCATTCCCAGTCACCACTATGCAGGAGATAGCTAAGTGAAAAGGTGACATGGCTGAAGCATTTAGCAGGCAATTGAAAACTAGTATAGAGTACAGTAGCCCTGAGAACACTGCTTAATTCTGAGCACTGGGTCTGCAGCTAGTCAGCAGTGAGACTGAGGAGACATAACTGGCACCTTAAAGCACATTTACCCTCTTTCCTTCACAAGCTGCACTAAGAACAGTTTCACAGCCCTGGGCGCAGCACGTGGGGGGGGGGGGGGGGTGTCAGTAAGTACAGGAGGGCGCTCAATGTCTCTCAGCACCCCTCACTATATAAATTGTTCTAGCACTCTTGTGGCTGCTGTAATAATCTTATAACAACATTTTCCCATTATTAAATACATAGAGGGAATAGCCCTACATTTCTGTGCTAAAAGGCAGTATAGGCCAATGGATAAGATCTAGATCCTGTTCCCAGTTCTGCCACTGACCTACTGTTTGACCATGGGCAAGTAACTTCCCCTCCTTTCCTTTCTTTATCTGACATGTCTATTTAGACTATAAACATGCAGGTCAGAGACGGTATCTTACTGTGGTTTTGTACAATGCCTAGCACAATGGGACACTAATCAAGGCTGGGCCTTCTAGGTGCTATCTTAATAGAAATAATGAATAATAACAAATGAATTGTGACTGAATTTCAAACTGGTCTCTTTATAGCTAAAAGGTTTCCCTTTACTACCCCAATCTTGCCATGAGAAGTATGTGCACCTCGGGGTCTAAATGGTTCTCACTGTAGGATTAGGGCCCAGTATTTCCACTCTCTAATTAAGGTTCTATTAAGACTCCTGTTTTTAACCTACTTGTTGAAAGATATATAACTTCATCCTTAAAATACACTCGGATCTAAAACATGTAATAGGCAAAATCTCCAAACCCATAGGTGACTTCTAAATTTCTGTGCTATAAAAATGATGTAATGAGACAATGTCGGATAATCATTAAATTTTGTCCTCACATCAATTATGCATTATATATAATTATGTATGGTAGAAAAAAATAAATATTTGCTTTCCAAAATCCAGGCATTTTGCTCAAAATGGGCATGACTAACCTAGTACTCTATTTTCACATATCACTTCTTTGCCTCCTGGTTCTGCCGCTCTCTCAGCCCCCTCTGCTGAAGAGAGACCATGAGAAAAAAACATCCCCCCCCCTTTTCCTTCCTTCTCCACCGGCACCAGCTGGGCTTCAGAGCCCCCATACCTGCCGTGCAGCCGCTTAGCTCTGCATGGGGCTGCCGGGGACCAGGGGCTGCTGCTCCTCAGCCCCCCGCCGTGCTGGGGGGCTGCGCTGCCGCCCCTTCCCCTCCCGGCAGAGGCCACCCCGGCTTAGGGAGCCGGGCAGCTGCGGGTGGGTGGGCACCGCCTCCTCATCCCCGGGGAGCCAGGCAACCAGCTGCCTGCAGCCCTGGAGCGAGAGAGCAGAGCTGGGGATGGGGGGAGAACGGTGCAGAGCCCAGAGCCAGCCAGCAGCCACATGCAAAACCCAGTTCCGGACTTTGAATCTGGAGCCTAGTACTGGCTGCCTGGAAAGGCACAGCTTTTGGAAAATGTGCTCAGGGGGGAGC